AATTAATAATAATTAAAACAATTAAAATTAATTAATAACTTGAAATGGATATTAACTAATAGTTGACAATTTACAACAACAAATACGAATGAATATTATTAATTAGACGTATAGTTCAAATAAAGTGACAAAAAGCTATTAAATCTCAACTTTAAATATTGTCTCAATAAATTTTATAACCTTTCAAATTAAATAAACTTTTTTTATTAACCTGAATATCCAATTCGCGATGCGAGCCGACTAATCTCAGAACTACCGCCTGCTTTGCAGATAGCCCGGAGTCACCATATTTGAACTTCCGTGACCACAAGGGAATTTTTATTCCTCCTTGAATTTGAATCTGCGACCTCCTGATACTTTTGACTTTTGGAGCCAATTTCAAACCAATCAAACACCAACCTTATGATTAATAATAAATTTTATTAGTATCACATGCAAATTCCAACATGAGGGTACAATTTATTCTACATATGGTACAAGTATTCACAGCATAAGTGTCGATTATTTATATGAATCCTCCACCAAAACATGATGTTTGCGGTAGAATCAGTTGATTGGATAATGGCGGATGAAGTGAAGCTCTTCGCCATTGCAATAAGCCCATTCGTTTGCAGAGTGAAGCTTGCATTGAATATGAAGGGAATCAAGTACCAAAACTTGGAAGAAGATTTCCCCAACAGAAGTACCCAACTTCTCAGATACAACCCTCTTCATAAGAAAGTTCCAGTGCTGGTTCACAATGGAAATCCGATATCGGAGTCCCTCGTGATCGTCGAATACATCGACGATGTCTGGAAACAGGTTCCGATTTTCCCACAAGATCCTTATCAAAAGGCTGTTGCTCGATTTTGGGTCAAATTCATTGATGAAAAGGTAGTGGTTTTACTGATAGTTTTCTTCAACAAATATGTGTGTATGTATAGATGTGATCAATCTTACGTACATTGTATATATGGTTAATGTATGTGTTCAGTGCATTCCTGCATTACACAATGTCTTTGGCAACAATGGAGGTGAGCAGGTTGTTGCAGAAGCTTGTGAGAACCTGCAAGTACTTGAAAATGAAGTGGGGGTGAAAGGTAAGAGGTTCTTTGGAGGTGATAACATGGATATTGTTGATATTGTTGCTGGTTTCATAGCTTATTGGCTTGGATTGATGGAAGAAGCAACCCAAATCAAGATCTTTACGGAGGATAAGTTCCCGAAACTAACGAAATGGAGTGATGAATTCGTCAACTGTCAAGTTGTGAAGGAAATCTTACCTCCAAGATCACTGGTGCTTGCATATTACAAGAAACGGTTCAGTAAGGGGTAGATATTAACGAACAGTACGTACAGACATGATCCTTATGAAGTCAGTCTTTTTTATTAAGGTTCGTGTGGTTATCCAAGTTGATGTTGTGGATATATATATATATATATAT